TCAAATCAAGATTTCCGAAATTCTAATATAGCGGCGGAATGTTGAAAGCTTGATTTGATGACTTCAATCGCTTTAAAACTAAAACTAAAAATAAACATCACCATTCGACTCAGCGCAGCTGATTACCCCTATCTTGACCCATTTTAAGGGTGATTGGAGGTCATTTGGCCGATTTCGGAGCTCTCAGGAAAATGCGTATAACTTCTCAACGGAATGCGCTAGAGAGCTCGGCCTTGAGCAGATCGAAAGAGAACAATTTTCTCTATCGAATTGTTAGATTAGATCCGATTAGAAATCAAAAGAGAATGCAAAAGACAAAAACTGCATGTAAAGAAAATTTTTCAAAATTTTGATCGATGCGATTCTCTCGTGCAATTCATGCTAATGAAATAAATTTTTTTCCCTTGAAAACTTAGATGTTGCTCTTCAGAAGGCTATCTTCAAGAGCAGTCTACGTTAGAATATGATAAAGTTAGAACAAAAACAAAAATGGGGCCGAAACTTATGGAACACCCTTTATCTATTGAAGATGATGAAGATGAACAAGATGAAGGTGTTTCATTGTGTGCTCGATCAATTTTTGTTTTCTTTTTTTTTTCTTTTTACTACGGTGAAATTGTTTTCATTTTCACTTTCCATTGGTGTAATATTATTATGAGATTGTTGGTGATGATTGATTTGGTGATGAATCATGCTCGTGTTAGATGGATAAGATTGAAAAGATGTCACTGGGTGTTGGTTATGTTGAGAGCTATTCATTGGCATTGGTTGATAGTGGTGGTTAGGTGTAAACCCAGGATAATTGAACAGTGGTTGTTGGATGGTGGTGTTGATCATATTCGATGAATATGATGTATCATTTGTAACCGATATACCGGGATGAGGTATGGCAGGATGATGTAGAAAAACTTGTTGTAGTTGTTGATTTTGAAGATCAGAAGAAATAACTGAAGAATTGAAAGAACCTTGGTCTTGTGTTGTTGATAGGGGGAGGATAGATAGTTGGGGCATTGATCATGCTGCCGAGCATGTCGGCAGCTGGAAGGTGATGATAATGAAGATGATGTTAAATAGGGGAATGTGATGTGGACAAATTAGAGTTTAAGAACGAATAAAACGTAATTATATAGAATATATAGAGATGTATGTATACGAAAGGAAAGAAGAATACGTCTTATCTGTGTATGTGCAGCAAGCTGAATGAACATAGATATATTTGAATTAAATTTGAGCGTACAGAATATGAATATAGAAGAGCAACTACTTCGTCTTAATTCATTTAATATTTTTAATCTCAAACTTTTTTTAATTTCATGTTTAATTTTGCCTAAATCTCAATTTTGCCTCACACAAATATGTATAAAGAGAGATCTATATGTTGCGATGACTCATACAATGAAATGAAGAATAGAAAAAGAAACAAAAGAAATATAACAATAGAAATATTGTTATATGCGAAATTAGAGTGGTCACAACATAAAGGAAAAGAACACACATATACATATGTATAGAATTATACATATATGTAAATTATGACTCATCAGTAGACAAACACTAACAGATAAAAAATGAAATAAATGTAGCAATAATAACATTGATTGTCAATACACTACACCTTTCTTTGTGAACTAATGTATTTTTTTACTATCATAGAAAAATTGTTCTAATAAAGTTCGTGGGATTCCAGAATTTATTGTACTAAACGTTAGTGCAACTTTTCTCTCGCTAACCTAAATTTTTCTTCCATGCGAAAAAGCTAGAGACTTTCAAGCTTTATAAGACTAAATAGATGGTGGAGTTGAGGGTATCGCTTTTTTTGGGAAATTATGGATCAAAAATTAAAGACATTCAGCTAGTCTTACTCTCAAGGTGAGTGTGAGTGATCATATAACGCAATCCCATGCCCCACATACATTTATGCACATCTACACTCATTCTCATTTTTTAAAACTTTTTTTAAATAAAAAATAAGTTTCAACCATATTGAATTAGAACAGAAAAAAACGGGTCATGATCATCTGGGTAATGAACATGAAACATGATTATCTTGGAGCAGTGGCTATGAATTGTTTGAGTGCGGTTCTCATTTTCATCTACATTCACAACATCGTCAAGTTTGATGAATATTGGTGAATCTGATTCATGAGTAAGTAACTTCAATAAAAATACCGATTCGACATGAATATATTTGTTTTTAACCTGTAATTAACACGCATATAATTTTATGTCCTTACATTTCTTTTTTCTTTCGCTCGATAAGATGACTGATAAATAGTCGTTCTCTTACATCCTTACATGAAATACGGTAGAGAAACTAAAAAAGATACAAAAAAGCAGCAGCATGTGACGAAAACGAATGATCATATACAATAAAAAATTATCTCCATTCGTGTGTACATATTTGGTAATATTTTGCATGAAACTATCGTATTCATTTGTACAGTGTTTAACGGAAAGATAAGTTAAGCATACTTTGTCAAATACTGTATATAATAGCATTCAAAATAAGGATTCTAGCAAGTTTAGAAAGAGAAGTTATAATCTAAGTAAAAAACTTTTCGATGTTGGAAATTTTCCAGTCTTATGTCAACAACGTTTCAAACTTTCCTTATGTTATTAAATTTATAGAATCGAAGAGCTCATTAGTATTTTTCTATTGTAGCTGTCACTGTGAGGTTGTCTTACATCCACACCCATACCATTACATTTAAAGTCAACGACCATTATAAAATTAACAAAGTCTCTGTCTGCAGTTTAAAATAATATCTATATATTTGTGGCAATCTTTGGAACAAGCTGAAAGAAATAGGATTCATTTTTGCCACATACCTCAACTCTCATTGTTAATCATGCTTTAGAAAAGCACTATATCAGTGAGGGAGCAGTCTAACTTAGTTGGACTAGTGATTCAGAGATAGATGTGACTACTAGAAAGGTTGATTTGACTGTTACAAGGAGAGAAAAATGAAAAATAATCCATGTCAATCTACTGGCCTGTAAGGTCTAGTCTGACTAGTTTAGACCCATATACCGTTACCGGTAAAGAAAAACTCGACGATTTGCAACACTGGCACACACTCTTTATTAAACTTACATTTGACTTTTCCATATTTGTTTACATCAACAAATATCGTACTGCCAGATTTTAGCTTATCTGGTTGCTTGATGCAGTCAAAGTACAGTCTACTACACTGATAGGTAACTTTAATTCTGTTTTTTTTTTAGATAAAATCAACTCAAATACAGTAGTACACAATCAAAATACCTCTGATATCTTCTTACGCACCGTTATTAGCTAATCTATTACAAGAAGTTAATCAATCATAAAATTAAATTTACTTAATAAACATAAATAATAAAATGGAAGATCAATTAAGATCTGCATACCAGAGCAATGCAATCAGTTCTTTTTCTTCATATGCTGCACATAACCGTGGCTATTATTATTCAACAAAACACAACGACAGTATAAGCTTGTTATCACCATCAGATGGAACTGAAATTACTGCAAGTGCAACAACAGCTGAAACACATGGTATACCTAGTAATGGACGTCGTATTGAACAGTGTTATAAATTATTAAGTGATTGTGATGTTCAAATGCGTCGCGTACGTCGTGTCAAAAATAATATAGAAAAAATACATTTTTTTCGGCGTTGGAAAAATCATCATATTAATTTTGACCAAAGTGAAATAACTTCAACAAAAGTTTGTTTTTTATATAATATATATATGTATATAGATAATACAAACTTCTTATTTATTTTTCTATAGAATCAACAATATATGGATAAGTCAATAGCTTATTCAGTCATTGAAAATATATCTGTATGGTCGAAATCCAAATTAATTTGTTGGCATGACCGATTTGGTATAAGAATTGTTACGAATAATCATAATTATTTTTTTCGAGTAACAAAAAAACTATTTTGTTCCGAGAAAAAATTTTGAATGACTACCAAATATGTTTTTCTTTTCTTATTTTAGGTTAATACACTTGATTTAAGAGACCAGTTGTTCTATTCCATACAATGGAGAGTATGTTATTATTAATATTCCTTTGAATTCTTTTATATTATATCTTATTTTAATAGCTAAATAAATTTAAATTTGAACATATTTTCCGTTCAGCTGATAATCCAGAAGAACTATTAAAAGAAATTAGGGTAATTTATTTTTTATTAAAAATATGCATGTAGGTTGCTCTATTGCTTTTTCATTATTAGAATATGATCAATATAACAATGACAACACCAATTGAAGATAGTGAAATTCATCCTTTTGTACTTGACATTATTTCTGAAATTCTGCAACAAGTGAAAAGAAATGCTCTTTTATTTTGTGCTTTAATTTAAAATCTTTGTATAATTGCTTTTTTACAGCAAGAATTTGATTCATCACGTTTGGTCCGTGAGGATGTGATTGCAGCACTATCACCATTACTTGAAATAAATTATCCATCACCAGAAATGTGTGATTTTTTTAGTCGAGTATGAATAGCTTATATATATTCATCATGTATTTTTCTTTTTGGTTTAGCACTGTCGTGATAGTCCACGCTCTCAAATTGTAATCGAAATGTTTACACCGACTGTTCAGAGAATTTTAAAACATAATGTAGTTAAATTTAATGATTAAGATTGAAAACAAAAAAGAATTATGATTATTTTTTTAAAGAATTTTAGTGCATATCCACGAATAAAATTACTGCTTCAAGAATATTTTCTTGCGCTTAATTCTCAGAATGATGGTTTACTTGTTGTAGAAGATTTTATTAAACGGTAACGAAATATTTATAAGAAAAATTATTCTTTTATTTATCATAGGATGCATGGTCCAACAATGGTTTGCCCATTTCTGCGTGTTCCCTCAAATTTAATCTCTGTTTGTTTTGCTGGAATTCATACTTTTTTTGAAGATCGGAAAAAGTGAATATTTGAATTTTTTTATTTTCGTATAACTTATATATATATTCATTTTTATTAAATAGGTTTCGCTTTGAAGATAACGAAAGCTCTCGAGCACATGAAGCAAAGACTGAAAGTCAATTAATATATTATATGAAAATTTTACAAACAATGTAAGCACGAAATGCATGATTAATTCTGCATAAAACAGCTTAAATCTTAAGGTTCCTGCTGCATATTTGCTCATAGTAATGGAAATAGATTGTCGCTTAGAGAACGACTATGGGTGTACTAAAATAGGATGGTGTAGCCACCTGGTCATATTTATGAAATAAACGAGGATTGATTGTCGTGTTTTTGTTACTACTCCCATGGCGTAAATTTCTGCGAAAAAAACGCGTTCTCAAACGCATTTTTCCATAGTTGCGAAACGCGTTAATGGTGACCGGTTTAACGCGTTTCACATCTGCTAAAACAAACGCTGCGGAACGATCGTTTTTCTAAAAAGTTTCGTAGCGTTTCTCAAACTGTAGTGTCGTATATTCTGGATGACAAAAAAAAAATGATAACCGTCAAGCGCTTCATTGAACTTGGGTTGCAGATACAATTCATGTACTCGTTTATTTTTTTTTCACAGACCTTTAGAACTATAACTTACATGAATTTTAATAAAGTCAAGCCATGGATTCGAACACGAGAACATAAGAGTAGAAGACATGTGTACAAGCCATTCAACTAAAATAATCTATAATGATATCAGTGTTTATTCTACTGTCATCCAGAGTCTCGCGTAATCTTACTAAATTAGATTTCTAGTTTCCCATTTCAATGAATTAAAAATCAACATTTCCTTGGCTCCTATGTCCAATTACAAATGTGATCTCCTCTTGATATATTTTTTATTTAAACTCTTTCAAATTTAAACTTAAATATCCAATTGAAACGAATTCAATTGATTTAAATTGTATTTAATATTTAAACAAGTTGAATTTCTTAGATATAAACTTTAGAAAATTTAAAAATTAATCTTTTTAATTATTTTCTTGATTTAATGGATTTTTGTAAATTTAAATTCGTTATTCTTTTACATAGTCACATCACTAAATGAAAAGGAATTTTCTTCTGTAAGTTGAATCTCTTTTATTAAAAAGTCACGCTTACATCAATAATGTACGAACTAGGATCATATTTAGTGGTCTTAAACACAGTATCATCGGTCACTCTCGAGTAGTTCAAATATGAACTCATACTAATAAATATTCAAATTATACATAACGCGAAAATTCTTTTGTTCAGAAATAACCAAACAAAGTCGTCGTATTCATTATATTAGCGTCAGTCTTTAATAAATCTTTTCGAATTGTTCAATGTTTAAAAACAATTCTTGGTGGAATGTTACGAAATGCGTTTTCTTTCAATAAAAAAGTAAAGAAATGAGTTTTCAAAGAAGAAGAATATCTTTTTGTTATACTTTGACGTTCAATATTAGTCTTCGGATCAGATTTAGATAACAGTCTAGCAACCTAAACTTTTAGAAGAATTCAGTTGTAATCTTGCCTTCAAAAAATTTGGGCCATGATTTTCATGTACTAAAATAGTGCAAGGAGCAAAACTTTCAATTGCTATTGCATATCATTTCCAAAATAATGTCGAAGAATTTTTTGCTTAATTCATATGCTTTATATGGGTGAATTCCTGCAAGATTCTATATGAAGAATGGATACATTTTGCATCATTCCAAGCAAAAACAATGCAAAATGTGTTTGAAAAAGAAACGCGTTTCACATCCCTCCCAATTTGTATCTGTGGAACGCGTCATCTGTCGACCGAAGTGCGTTCGGCAACATTTTACTTCTGAAACGCTTCGAAACGCAACCTCGAAAAAAGCATTTTGGATCGTTTCAAAAACACGACGGTAGCAAAACGCATTTTATCTAAATAAGAATGCCGCGAAACGCGTTCTGTATTAAAAAACGTTGCGAAATGCATGCTACAATCTCGGAAACGCGTTACGCAATCCGTTTCCTTCAATATTTTACTCCATGGGCTGTCTCCATAGTGCACGCTATATCAAATAGTTTACCTCAGGACGATGGTTACAGCTATCCGCAATTATCTCCGTAACTGTGCCATACATGGCCATTTGTGGTCAAATATGGCAGTTAAATAAGACATTATTAACAGTAGTAAGGGGTTTATATAGTAGCAGAGTACGGAGCATTTTTACCATCTGTCATAAATGAAATTTTCTTCGGAAAGTACTGCGTATAGCTTTAGTAGATTGCAGTTTATTATACAGATTCTTGGTCAAGCTATTGGTTTTCAGTATACGACATAGATGTAGAGAATTGCTCTAACGATCATAAGCATAATAACACTGAATTTTTCTTTTAATATAGATCCACATTTGATGATTGGCGACGTCATCTTGGCTTGGTTCTACAACCTGTTCCTTTCCAGGATGAAGCACTAAAACATGATCGTTTCATTAAGCAATATATAAATTTTTCTTCAAATGAAATAGTTTCTATGTTATTTGTGTTTATTTAAAATAGATTATTCAAAAATGTGGTTAAGAATCTTGTTGAAGATACACGATGTGAAGTTCATCGAACAGTGTTAGGTATTCGTGAAGGTAAAGACGGATGGTTTGAAATGTTTTGTTTGGGTGGTATTGTTTGTGATGATAATGGTGAAATGTTTTCATTAATGGTAAAGAAAATTTTTTAATATAAAAGAACATTTCCTTTCTTTCTTCTTTGGATTTTTTAGCTTAGTAAATTAATTTCATGTTGTTGTCGTCAAAAAGATTTTTTATTAAGTATTAATAAATTATTACCATCTTTAATGTTACTTGCATTACATGAAAGTGAAAGTTCATTAGATGTAGGTATTAAATTATTGAATATTCGGAAAATAGAAAAAAAAATTCATTCAGACTTTATGTGCAATGCTTGATTTGGATGCAGTTGAAAATCATGATAATAAGTTACAATTAATATCAACACTGGAATCGACGCCAAGTGGGTTAACAATGTATGCAAAAGTATGTGAAAGACAGAGAGCATTACAAGCATTACAACAGAAAGATGGACCAAGAGACTTAACATTACCATCATGTTGGACTGATAATGATTTCGCAAGCTTATTATCATCAGGTCCATTTGGTAATCTTGAATCTTTAAGCTTAGCATTTACGAATGTCACAAGTGCTTGTGCCGAACATTTAATTAAATTACCAGCATTAAAATATATAAATTTATGGTCAACACGAGTGAGTTGGATAATGAAAATTTTCATTAAAAACTAGTATTATTAAATATTATTTTATTTTAGTTTGGTGATGCTGGTTTAGAATTAATTTCCCAACATTTAAATCAATTAGAAGTACTTAATTTAAGCGAAACATCAGTGACGGATAAAGGACTTACTTATTTAGCAAGTAAAGTTATGATTTTTGCTTTTTTAAACTCTTTCCTTGCTGTTTATTTGGATATTTATAGAGATGAAAATGTTACGAAAACTTTATTTAAATTCAACAAATTTATCTACTTTAGCGATTCAAGCTTTAAAAGTATAAATTTGAATATATAAACATTCTATTCAAACAGAACTACTGAATCATTTTAGGAAAAACTACCAACTTTAGAAGAATGTGATATGCGATATACAAAGGATTGGTAGAAACATGTTCTTGTTTTTCGTTTATTTTTGTTATTACAATAATCTTCAAATGACAAGTTTCACGCATTATCATCCACGACCAACGACATATATTAATCGAATGGACGCTAATTTTATTGTTTTTTTTAGAATTTATACGTGAATATTTGCTTCCAGATCCAATTCATCCTGTATTCGTGCTTCATTTTTCTTATTTTTGTGCATTGTATGTATGATGATAGATGCATTCAATCAAATATCATGACTTTTTTTCTTGTTCTTGGCGAATTGTTTGTTGCTTGTGATGTTATTTTTTCCTTCTCGACTCGAGTCTGGGAACTATATTACTGCGTGCATTATTGTATCAGAACAATCCGTATAAATACTGAAGCTAATAACGCAGTATTTTGTCTCAGAAAAAGATTCTTTGGAGAATTTTTCAGCAAAACCCTGAAATCGCCCAGAGATCGCCTTGAAGTGGTATGATGTCAGACAGCAGAGAAGGGTTTGAGTGCGGTGTGGGTGTGGGTAGGTAGGAGTCACTGTAAATATCCTCTTAACCAACAACTACATTCACACCCATCAATACGAATATAGCATACTTAGTGGATACCGTTTTTGAGACATTCTGTAAGAAAGAGTATTTCAATAAAAATCCAGAATTAATTCCATTAGTTGTATTGTTACAATTTGGAATTATTTCGAAAGACAGTGATTGATTTAAGATTTACGGAAATTTAGTGCCTGAATTAGCTGAACAGTCAGATGTAAAAGAATTTTTGTTTCAAAGAATTCAATCTATGTGCAATCCTTATTATAAATCAAGAGCATTATATCAATTAGCTAAATTTTATGATGAAAAAAGTTACAAATTGCTAAATGAAAAAATATTCAAGAACCAACTTTAAAATTTCAAGTATTGGAAAAGATTTTTAACATTGTTCATTATAAGGAAGTAGATCGCAAACTATTCATTCAAGAAATTCTTGACGAATTAATTGTAACATTTGACAATATTGATGGTTTTCATAATCGAATGATCGCATCGATAAGATTATCATTTCATGCACCCGGAGAATTTCGAAAAAAGTATTTAGTTATTGCTATAGAAACGCTTGATCGAATTGGTGAAGATAATGACAAAATCAAATTAATCATTCAATTCAAACCATTAATTAGTATTTACGATGATCTTTTAATCAATCTAAATGAAATGATAGCAATACTCAAGAATAAAATGCATAATTATTTTGTCAATTTTTATTGTGGAAAAATACTATTTACTGAAATATTACAAGGTCCCAAGTCGAACTTAAATTTAGATATGAGTCAAAATTTAGAAAATAAGGATAATAACGAAGATATTCTCGATCTTTCAAATTATACGGGTCTTCAACTTTTATTTGTATTGATTGTAAAATTGAGCGATACGAAGTTAGTTATTGATAAAACAGAAAGCATTGATCAATTATGGATTAATGTTTTGAAAGATACTGACAATCAATCAAATATAGAAAAGTTACTAACTATTTTTTTACATGATAGAATATTTTTGACGCCACAAGTAGCTATTATTGTAGATGAATTGATGAAAAAAGGAAAAGAGAATCATATATCCATTCTTTTCCCTTATATTATAAAACCATCAAAGGAAGTATTACCTGTTGTTCAGAGGTGGTTCACTCAATATAATAACAATCAAATTAAAAATCTAGCAGCTCTTTTACTATCAAAAGCAAAGCATATTTTGGCATCATCTATCGATACAATTATTGAATTGTTCGAAAGAAATAATGATCAAATGAGATATAGAGATCAAAGAAGTTTTCAACATCCAGCAAGAGATGTTCAAGAACCTAGCAAAAGACTATCTGTATTAGGAGAAAAAACGATGATGAAAATTCTCGAGCATGCTCTGGTGAAAGAGCACCTTCCTAGTGTTCCTGTTTATTTTTCTACGACTTACTATGGCATGATTTTCTAATTTTTCACAATTTATGTCAATATATGAATCAATTACAAGAGAGAGTCCGTTACTGGAAGAAGAATCCAATTTCTCGTTAGGATTTACTTCATTAATAAGCATACATGGAATTCAATAATGCAAACTTTAGCACCATCTTTACATCCATTGTATATGGAAAGATTACTTCATTCTACAATGCATTTAGCAAAACGTTCTCAAATTACAGAAGATGATGGGTTTGAATTTGCAAGATTATTAACAGTGACAGACACATGACAATTTCAACAACATGTATACTTTTCACGTACAGATATAGAGCGAATACAAATCATTCTTGATGAAATTTTTGCTTCAACAACTACGACTGATGAAACATATTTTGAAAATCTTGAATCAATTTTAATCACTCAAACAACCATCAGAGTTGACGATCTTTCATGACAGAGCTACCCACGTGAAAAAGTCATACACAGATCGTATAAGATCTTACAGGATCTTACTGACATCTAATGTTGTAAGATTCGTATTGTAGGGTGTGGGTGTGGATGTAGGTGTGGGCGTGGGTGTGGGTGGGTGTGTGGGTGTGGGTGTGGGTGGGTGTGGCTGTGGCTGTGGCTGTGTGTGGATGTGGGTGTGTGGGTGTGGGTGGGTGTGGGTGTGTGGATGTGGGTGGGTGTGGGTGTGGGG